CTCTGCAAAAGCTTTTAAGTTTAATTAGGTCCCATTTGTTTATTTGGTTTTCCACATCTTATATTTTGTATGATATTGTTTTTTAGACCTTTATTATTTTCATAATTTTTCTTGTTATTGTTCATTATTTTTGGATCTTTTTTTAGTTCAGATTTTTCTCATAGTCTCTTAGTAATCCTTTTATAAACTTAACTGTCTTAGCTATGTCCTTAATGTTATCAAGTATATTCTTATTCTTTAAAATAAATGGTAAAAGTTGATGTTTTAACATTTCTCTTTTATATCTTGGAGTGACTGTATTTTCTTAGATATTAAAATTTAAAGTTGATGTAATAATAATGTAAATAATGTTGACTTCTTTTTTAATACTATGGGTTTTCTGACTCGAGTGTTATTTCTTGGCTGGGTTCTTTTTCAGACATTTGATAGTATTAAACCTGAGTTTAAAAGCTAGTCAAAAGAAACTTCTTGGGTAAGAGTTTAGATTTATTATCTTTGGAGATAAATCAGTGTGAGTTAACTTGGGTTTCTCATTAAATGTAATATACCCCAAAATCAAGATGGTTTATAATACTAAAACTTTTTTTCTTAAAACTTTTTATTTTAGTAATCTTATTTGTGATCTTCCTTACTTGACATGAGTTTTCAGTTTACCTTCATAAAACCTTGCATATTTTATTAGTTGTAAGACTTTTAGAAAAACCACATGGTTATGTTTTGCTGTTTAGGAGCTTTATATTTTTATTTTTTTTGCTTCTCAGCACTAAGTCATGATTTAGTTGAGCATTTTTCAGAAGGCTTCTTAATGTAGTCAACCATAAATATGAAAGCTTTACGTTTCTAGCGTTGTGCCCATTATCATTTAGATATTTCTGCAAAACAGAGCTAGTCCTAACAATTTAGTTATCTGGAGTTGCACAGTGCTTTACAGTGGTTTTCTTAGAGATTATTCTTAACAATCCCAAGTTGTAATTTAGATTTCTATGAATTTAACTACTTTTGTATTATTAAGAACTGGAGGTATTATTCATAACTTTGTTTTCTCAGCCTCGGTGTACTGAGGCCTACTTTAGTGTGTATACTTATATTTTATTCCATAAGAAATGTTATGGTCATAATATAATGGTGTTTCATATAGACAAGTTCAGTTTGTTTTACACTGTTTTATTTTATTGAGATAAATCTCCTAGTACTTGTTTATCACTGCTGATTCTAATTTTATTTTGCATTTTCAGTGTCTTATAAAATTACTTTGCTTAGAATACTGAGTTTATAAAATTATATTAGAAATAACACAGATTTTTGCTTTCAGTATGGGTAGGCTAGATTATTTAGATCAGTTCTTACTTTAAGGACTACTCTTTTTAAAAAAATGAAGCTAAATAGAGAGATAGGAAGAAAGGAAAGAAGACAGACATCTTCTAAAGAAGAGCTAAAAAGACAGTGAGGTGTTTATTTCTAGATCTTAGTTCCCCAACTAGGGAGCCAGCTTGTGCCCCCTGCAGTAGAAGCATGGATCCTTAACCACTGCACCACCAGGGAAGTCCCCCTAGAAGCCACTTTTGATGTGAAGACATTTGCTAATTCAGAAGTAAGATTTGTAAGATCCATCTGTAGTCTTAGTGGTCTTGTGGGGCAAGGAGCTCCATAATCAAAACCCAAGACAAAGCCTACCCAAAGTGGGAGTGGAAAGGAATTCTGCTTATATTGCCTTTCACCTTCTTTACCTGATGTTCCTGAATGTAGCATCCTCTTGTCAGCATCACTTGAGAAGTTGTGTGTGGAAGATGCCCCAGACAGGCATATAATAACCCTCATGTTATCAAACCCAAGTCTTCCTTTCTGTGCCACTGCCTACAATTTCTGAGCCCTGCCTAGGTTCCAAGGCTTCCATTAACTTGCCTTCTGTACTTTATCTCCCTTAAAAGAACTTAACTACTCAAATTTCTCACCTCTACTTATTCTTTGCTCCAGTTTTCATCTTCTAGAAATTCATTGGCCTGTCTCATTAGGTCTTGTTTCCTCTGTTGTTTCCTTTGTTATTATAGATGTATGCCTTTTTAATTTTTTTCCTCACTTTAGTGGATTTCTGGAAGAAGCAGAGTTTAGACATATATATAGATTTTTCTACATTTAATCAGCATTTCATGAGGTTTACATACTTGTTTGAACATTTTTATAGGAGAAATTTCAGATAGTGAATCAAGGTATGAATATTTGCATTACTTACTGATACTATCAAATATTCCTCAGAAAAGATTGTTAACTCACACTCCGCACGTTAAAGCATAATGGTGCCAATATAGCTTTTAATCTTTTTTGAAATTAATGAATACATTGTTTTGGGGGATTATAATATTTTTAAGATAGTTCTGTAACTTCTTAGCTTTTAATTTTCTGTTTTTTTATATTTAAATTGACATGAATATTATGTGGCTCCATCTTCTTTTTATCTTAAAGGTTACCTTAATTGACCATTTTAGTTTCTGTTTTAGCTGAGGACCTTTTTGTTTCAGAATAAGTTTGTGGGCCAATAAAATAAAAGGAAAAGTTTCTTTATATTTAATGTGGAAGTCACTCAGTAGTGTTTGAGTCTTTGCAACCCCATGGACTATACAGTCCATGAAATTCTCCAGGCCAGAATACTAAACTGGGTAGCCGTTCCCTTCTCCAGGGGATCTTTGCAACTCAGGGCTCCCACATTGCAGGCAGATTCTTTACCAGCTGAGCCACCAGGGAAGCCCCTTTATATTTAATGGTTGTGAATAAATCATGTCGGAGACATAGTCAACACTAAGCACGTATGCTAATGATAAAACATGTTTATTACTTTCTGTAGAAGAAAACAACCAGTCTGCGTTCCTACTAAAATTCTTGGGGTGTTTGGAGTGGTGCCCATCAAGTCAGTTTCTTCTTCCAGTCCTGCTAGAAGAATTGGTTTAGCATTTTACAGATCATTTCTTCTGTAGTTCTTCAGAGTCCTAGGAGGTGTTTTTTTCAAATGAACTAAGAAATTTAAATACGAATTGTGCCAAGAATTCAACACTTTAGAACAGAAAACCAACATTTTTTTTTTAGTAGTAGTCTTGATTTGTTTCACTTGATTAATCTGAGGTTGTTTCAGATCATTTAGTTATAATTCCTAGTATTAGTTTTCCAGCTTTGGGGCCATTTGTCAGAGATAATCATTCATCATGGCTTTAAATATATAGAAAACTCTGTTTCAGGATGCAATTGAGGGAGAAAAGAAATTTATATAAACTATACTTCCAAGAAGAGACATCATTAGCTTTTCAAGAGTAATGTGCAACTAAATACTTTAGGGTGATTGTTTTTAGAGTATGGTATCCATATCAGCAGAGGCAGGCTTGCTTTGAATCTTAATTAAAAATGCACAATTTTTGGTCCTTCCTAATACCTGCTAAATTAAGACCTGTGGGGTTGGAGCCCAGCAAGTCCTCCGGATCATTCTGATGCACGCTGAAGATCAACAGCCATTTCTTTAGAGTTTAAGAACATGGATTTTAAAATCAGACATACCTGAATTCAAATTCCACTGTTTAATATCTGTAACTTTGGGCCAGTTACCTAACCTCTCTGAGCCTTAGTTTTCTCAGTTGTGAAATTGTGGACTGTCACCTCCCTCATTTGGATCAGGGTAAATTGGATTGTTTGTAAATTGCCTAGTAGAGGAACTTAAAAATGATCACTATATCTTACTATTTAAATATATACTATTTTGTTTGATTGATTCTGGAACAAAATTACCCCATATTAGTATTTCTGAAATTATATGTGTCTTACATGATTAGAAAATATTGTGTCAGTTTAATTATTAGAGTTTTTTTCTTAATGGCACATGAAATAATGGTGCATTTAAAACTCAGTGTTGTCTGTGATTCACTGATACATGCTATTATGTTCAAGATGCATGAACACGGTCAAGGTTGGGCATATATTTGAGTGTGTATTGACTGATGAGACAAGTATTGAATTGGCCTCAGAGAGAGCAGACAGTCTCTCTAATTAGACATTGTAGAGCTTGAATTTAGCAAATAATTGTGACTGGAACTGATCATCTCAATGTGAGTAAAAGCAAAAATAATCCAAAGTGTAACATAAAATTCATACTGGTATAGGAAAAACTACTTTTATAGATCCATATAGTCTTTTTATGCTTCCCTTAAATCTTGTCATCAGCCATTGGTTTTTAACACAGTCCCTGTGGCATTTTAACAGTATGCTTGCAACATCTTCCAAACCCAGACCTGCTGAATTGAGATATCCAGGCTTTCCAAATATATATATCCATTATCTCTGCCAGAATAAAGTTAATTATATTTGTTTTAGTTAATATTTTTTTAAATGAAATTACTTTTTCCAGTACTGTTTTTAAGAAAAGAATTCTTTAATGAGTTGTACTTTTCTTAATTAGCTATCCTTCACCCCCTTCCCTCTCTTCTCTTCCCTTTTCTCAGTGGTCTTGGAAGAGGAGGTAGATAGTTGACATTTCTGTTTAGTGCTGGGAAACTTTACTGTTTACAATTTTTATGAAGTGGTACCATACCCCTATGTTTTTCTTCCTCTGTTTTTATGTATATGATCCAGTGATGAGCTCTAGGCTATCTCTGGCCAGCTTTAACTTTAGCAAGTTCTTTTTGTTTTGGTTGGAATTTATTGCTTTCTATATCCACTTCAGTGTCTGCTTTTTATTGTAGGTGCTGTACTGTGTCTAAGCATAAGATAATCCTTTATCCTACTCCTTATCTTTATTGCTTTTTCCTGAACTCCTCCCTTCTTGAATTTGCAAGCTGAAGGAAAACATTAATTTATCTAACTAATTTTAAGATTATTTTAATGAAAATAACAAAAACATAGCATAGAGCATCTGGATTTTCTGTATTATTTTTTCTACTTACCAGTTGTAATTGCCAAGTATGTTCTTATCTCATCAACCATAGGGAAGTCTGTGCCTGACCTAAGATCTTTCTTTTTTTTAGAAACTTGTGGTGGAGAATGTTGATGTGCTAACACAAATGCGGACCAGCTTTGACAAACCCGACCAGATGGCTGCCCTCTTTAAAAGATTATCGTGTGGGTAACTCATGCTTTTTATAAGAATTAAGAAGACCCTGAAACTCAGTCTTTATTAGCTTTTGCTCAAATGTAAATATAAGTAGTAAGTTATGAAAAGCATTCTTCACTAGAATATTTTTGCAGTGAAAGGATCTTTTAAGTGAATGGCTTATCTGTTTCATAATTTTTTTCCTTGCCATACTCTTAGTATCACGTATTAAATATTTGATATCATTATCAGTTAACTCATGAGTCCATTAAATAAGTTAACCTACATTAATTTAGACCAAAGGAGATTTAACTTCTGAGTCTGTAACTTTCTAAAAATCAGCATTATTGAGGTATAGCTTATATAAGTAAAATGCATTTTAGTGAACAGTGTGATGGTTTTTAACAGATGTATACATCCACATGGGCTTCCCTTAGAGCTCAGTTGGTAAGTAATCTGCCTGCAATGTAGGAGACCTGGGTTCAATTCCTGGGTCGAGAAGATCTCCTGGAGAAGGAGCTGGCAACCCACTCCAGTATTCTTGTCTAGAGAATCCCCATAGACAGAGGAGCCTGGCAGACCACAGTCCACAGGGTTGCAAGAGTCGCACACAACTTAGCAACTAAACCACCACTGCCATACGTCCACATAACCATTACCGCAGTGAACAGCCTGTCAGTCAGCTCAGTTGTTCAGTCATGTCCAGCTCTTTGCAGCCTCATGGAAGAGCAGTCTCTTCACCTCAGAAAACTCACGATTCCTTGTAGTCAGTTTCATACCCCTCATTCTATCACTATAGAAATGATAAGTTTGCCTATTCTGTTGTATAAGCAGTGTATACTCTTTTGTATATATTGTTGAGATTCACCTCTCTTTGTGAAGTGAATCAGTAACTTGTTCCTTTGTATTGCTAACCTAGGATTATTGCATGAAAACTTGAGCCTCCAACTTAAAAATTTTTTTTACGTATCTTCTTCATACTGATTCTTTATGCAAGATATATTGTGAAATAACAGTGAATCTTAAGTATTTATTAAAGTGTGTTTATTAAAGTATGTTTATCCAGGCAACTGTTTTAGATCCACTTGAGTTAATTTCATCTGCTTTTTGTCCTTGAACTCAGACTTATAATTAAAAACTAAAAGTCACACTTCCTATTGATTCAATTTAAAAGCCTTTCCAACTTTAAAGACTTAGTGAAATCCTGAATAAAATACTTTCTATATTTGAGAAAACCAGAGTTTATTTTCCCAAATAAAAGATAATCCTGAAGTAAATTAAAGACATGCATAGTTTATGTACTTCCCCTTTGATATTTTTCTTTTAAATGTTTTGCAGCTATATCAAATTTTATAAAACTATAAAATGACTTAGAGAATCACTTTTTTATGCTGTCTTATCTTGCTTTTAAAAATACAAACTTCTTTAATAAAAATTAAGATAAAACTAAACTACAGAAACTTCCCTGGTGGTCCAGTGATTTAAGAGTCTGCCTGCCAATGCAGGGACATGGGTTTGATCCCTGGTCTGGGAGGAAGGCCCCATGTGCCATAGAGCAGCTAAGCCCATACGCTGCAGCACTGAGCCAGGGCGCTAGGGCCTGTGAGCCACACTTCTGAGCCCGCACGCCTGGAGTGAGTGCTTCCCAGTGAAAGAGACCACAGCAGCGAGAAGCCCAAGCACCTCAACAGAGTTGCCATCACTCTTCGCAACTAGATATAAAGCCCATGCACAATAATGAAAACCCAGAGCTGCCAAAAGTAAATAAAAGCAAAAAAGGTCCCACTGAACTACATTTCAGGTTGCCTTTTACAGCAGATCAGTGTTTGCCGTAGCTATAAAGGGAAAGCAGCAAAAGATGTTTTGGAGGTGATGAACCTTTGCCACTATGGTGATGATGATAAGTAGATCTATGCATGTTAAAAGTTTTTGCTAGAACTGTACACTGAAAGGGGAAAAAGTCAGGTTTACTCTTGGGAACTTTAGGAAATGAAATTTTTTAAATGAAAGAGATTGACTCGGTAGCATTATGTAGAAGAGGAGTGTGAATAAATAGTACTATTATTTAAATCCCTATCTGATGTCTTTTCTTCATTGGTATACTGTATACTTATATTTTCTAGTATGCTTTACTTTATTCTTATTATTTTTATTTTTCATGTTTCTTTCTTTTATAAATACTCATCTGACCACCCAACTGGCCTTACTGGCCTGAATTTCATGCTAATAAACAACATTCTGACTATATCATCTGGTTAGAGGCAATTGACCCACTGCTGTGTCCAATGCATGTTTACTATTACTTTTAACTCTCCTATTTGTTGAAATGAAACAAAATATTTTTTATGATTTGGAAAAAGAAAAGGTCTGCTCAAGAGTGACCTACTTAGGGGATAGAGAAGGCTACTTTTTTGAGTTGAACTGTTTTCCAGAATACTGTCTCTAATCTTGTTTTTACCTTTGTGCTAAATTGATGTACTTTTGTAGCAGTTTGATTTTCATAGTCAACTAACACATTCTTTTAAATACCCTTAAAAAGAGAAAGCTATGTAATTTATTAAAAGTAGCTCTGGGGTGGCCCTTATCGAAGCTGCAGCTGCTTCCATATAGCTGCTGTGGTCAAAAAGGAGCCCAAAGTGACAGTTTTCCTTGACGGTCGCCGTTCTGTTTGCTGTAACTGATCTGCAACATTTCAGGAAAAGACAGTTCCCATTGTACTTACTATCTCTCAGGTACAACCAGAGACCTTTATTAGAACTGACAATGTTTTCAGAGGCTACCAGAAATGTTCCATTGGTGGGGTCTTACATGCAAGAATAAGGCTTTTGAGAAGTGGCTTGCGGAGGCCAAGAACCAGTATGGAGATGCAGATATGGGTGGGTTAGATACCTGTGCTGGGGAAATCCAGGGGCAAGTGGTGCAGATTGTAGCCATGCTTTGGGTCTTTGCCCTGGAAAGCTTAAGGCATCAGTCTAAAGGTGAGTCAAAAACCTTGATTCTGAAAACAAGATGAATGGCACAAGTAGGTCATTCAGGACAATAAATTTTAGAAATAAATAAATAAATAAAAGTAGCTCTGGGGACTTCCCTGGTGGTCTGGTGGTTAGGTACTTTCACCACCATGGCCCTGGTTCAGTTCTTGGTGGAGGAGCTAAGATCTCACAATCACACAGTGTGCCCCTCCCCCCCCCCAAAAAAAGCTCTGAATTGGGAGGCAATCTGCAATTAACTTTTGAGTTTTTCAGAATTTCTATGTGACTTGAAAAAATTTATTTTATTTATTGAAGCTGTAAATTAAACAAGATTTCTTACTGTGAAGTTTCTCAGAACTTTTAATATGTTGTTATTGTGTGTATTTAAGGGGAATTTATAGATACAGTGTTTGCAAACTTTGTTAAATTCTGCATAACATCCTTTGGGAAGTATATGATTGTATCACACTATTTACTTTCTGATTGCTCGCTCACCTTATTCTCTGGATTCTTTTTTCTGGGTTTCCTGTCCTGTTTTTTAGACTGGCATGCCCCTTTGTTCTCACTCCTCCTTAATGCCCATAAATTGGGTAACATATTCTTAGAGAAATCTTTGCTTTTATTCTCTTTCTTTCATCTTTTCTAGATAGTAACAACTTCCTAGGAAGTCTCATTTCTTAGCTAACCATTTCATTAAACATCCTCTAGTTTTCTGGGTCTTAGCACTCTGCTTAGTCCTATAGGTAAAAGATTAATAGGACTTGGAATTTGTATTTGTGGAATTTGTATTTGTGCCTTACATTATTTTGTTAACACTACTATTTTGATTCTCATCACATTTTGGCTTATTTTATGCTTTCTCATGTGTAGTAATAAAAGATGTTTATGGTAAAGATTTAAACAAACCACACAGGAGGTAGAGTGTCAAAACAAAATAATTCATTCCTACTGCTCAAAAGTATAGCTGCAGTTAACAGTTTTTCTATACATCTGTCTAGCAATTTGTTATATATACAAATATGTGTGTGTGTATGTATTTCATATAAATAGGATTCTATTTTCTCAGTTTTCTTGACAGTGCCTTTAGATTGTTACTTAAGGTCTAGGTTATTGTTCTATTTGTATCTGCTTTCTTATTACATAGTACAGTGCCTTGTGTATTAGGAGTAATTCAATAAATGCTGGCTTTTTAAAAATGAAGTTATTTATCCTTCTAATCCTAATTTCCCTTGATTTTATTTAACCAAATTTTAATTTTGAATATAATAGTAATAAATATCAGAATAATGTTCTCTAACCAAAATGTAAATGATCAAATCCATCCATAGTCTTCAGAAACCTGGTCTTATTGCTTATGATCTTCATTGTTTCTGGACTCTCTGGACCTCAACATCTAGCATCTCCAGGTTCCAGGGCCATTTGATTTTAAGGATCCACTTTGATCAGCAGCTTCTTCTTTCCCTAGTCTTTCTTCTCCTTCCTCCTGCCTCTACCATTACTGTGATAGGATTATACAGGAGGCTACTTATATGATTGTTTTAAGATTCTGATGAACCATCTAAACCATTTTAAAGAACATTGTACTCTACTGGAAGTAAACTATAATTTCCTTAATTTTAATATCAACTTTCAATACCTTTGCTTCTTTAGTCATCTGTTGTAATCAAATAGTTTTTAATTGTGCCTTTTATCATGGGGGTTTATGACAAAGAGTTTTTCTAAGGTTAAGAAAGAATCCAATTCACTCTCTTCTCTCTTCTTCCTTCAAACTTAGCTGTTGACAGTGTCTTGAAGAGGATGACAATAATTGGTGTAATTTTATCCTTCCGATCATTGGCACAGGAAGCACTCAGAGATGTAAGAAGCCATTTTAAGTACATTTCTATAGCCAAATAGTCCTTTTTAATTTCCCAGAAATTAAAAGTAACTTTTACCATTTATAGTTCGCAGTGCTATAACTAAAATTCCAGTTTTCATATTTTATATGAAATAAAGCATATAGAAATCATGGTTACTATTTTTTGTTTTGGTGATGAAATTCAAGAGATTTAACTTGCCTGGATATTGTGCTACTTTTTCAACTTTTTCTTCATTAAAGCATTTTCCATTTTGACTATACTCAGTTTACCATCAAATGCATTCCATTAATGGCTACATTAGAAAATCATATGAAAATAGACTTAGTAAAATAATTTTATGAAAGCTGAAAGTAGTTGAGTGGTAACATTTCATAAATTTAGAGATTGCCTTAAAAAATAATTACTTGTTTTCCTGCCTAGGTCTTGTCCTACCACATTCCTTTTCTTGTCAGTTCAATTGAAGATTTCAAGGATCACATTCCAAGGGAAACTGATATGAAGGTAGTAAACTTCTGTTTGTATTTTACTGTTTCTAAAATGAAATATTTAACTTATATATGAAGTAAAATTTAGTAAATCCTAAGCTTTTATAAAGTTTAATGTGTTAACATTTTTGCCTTTGAAAATGCATCTTTGAAAGCTCAACACCAAAATACTATATAGGCATTATGAAAGTCAGTCTTCCTTGATCACCTAGCAATGTAAAATGGGTTAATATCAGTCACCTTTTTTTTTTCAAAAGCCATACTTCATATTTCCTCTTTTACTATATAAATATCAGTTTAACCTTTTACTATAAGAATATGGACTTTCTAAGAGGATCTTTGTTATTATTTATACAAATTCACAAACAGTACAATTAATTAAGGTCTCTGGGTTTCTTTAACTCCATGGTCTCCCATGTTGCTGTGAAGGATTAAAAAACAAAACAAAACAAAAAATGCCAACAGGAAAATATACATCCTGCTCAGAAGTGATTTTTTTTTTTTAAAGCCACAAGTCCCAACCCCCACCAAAATAAAGAAAGGCGTCTACTCCTCCATTTAGAAACAGAATTTTAAAAAACCCACCAACACCTGTTTTATTAACAGAATAGCCATAAGACATGAATTTCAGTCTCCCCTTCACAGGAGGGCCCCTGGGCCTCCTAAGCCAGCTCCAGCTCCTCTGCTCCCTACAGGAAGCCTCACTGTGACTTTTTCATGAGGAAATGTGGAAGAGAGGGAGGGCAGGGCAGACTTTGCATATATAATCATCATTTTCAAGACACAATCTGTATCTCACACAGACAAAACAAAACAGTCCAACTTTCATGTCTCCCACACATTTGTGCTATAAATTAAGTCAAGATTTAGGAGCATGGTTGGATCTTCAAATGCTTAGGGACAAGGAGAAAAAGAAAAATAAGAGCCAGAAATGTGAAGTGGGAAACACCAGATGGATGGGGTTTGGGAAGAAGCCAAAACGAAAAAGACGTACAAACCCAATCGGCATCTTTCCAGTCCAGGCACAAAAGTGTTTCAGTTTCAAAACATTTTTCTTGTAGAACTCCAGGGCTAAAGAGAAAAAAGTAAACTAAAACGAGGTAGCCAGACATGTGTGTGTGTGTGTGTGTGTGTGTGTATAATTTATATATATAGTATATATACTCAGAAGAAAAAGAAAAAAAGACAAGTTGATGTCAAGTTTCTTCAAAAAAAAAAAAAAAAAAAACAGACAATAGGAATGAAATGAGCCTGAGTAAGCGAGTGCTGTCAAGAGGAGCGATGAGGCCAGGCTAGCATAAGTTACAAAGTGGAAGAAGGGTGAAAAGGCCGTTCTAGTTGGGTTTGCTTTTTTATCATTTCGAAATAAAAACCAGATCACAGTATTCAAATGAAAGCTTAAGTGAAGGCAGACATTTTCCTCAACTCCCCAGGGCTGGAGGGATTGCTCACCCCCACCCCCACCTCCCGGCGCACGGTGGCTCGGCCCCTCCGGCAGACCCTGGCCGGAGGAGTGGGTGGTAGGCCGCACGTACAGGAGAGGGGCGGGGGTGGCGAGGCGGACACCCCCCCCCCCCCCCCCCCCCAACACACACGCGCAAGAAGGGGACACTGGAAGGGAGCCAGCGGCTTCCGCTCATCGCCCCGACCGCGTCCGTGCCGAGAGGGCGAACTGGGCGGGCCTGACAAACGGGTGCTGCTGTCCCCACCTGACCTCCTCACTGTCTGTCATCTGCCAGGGGCCCAGGCTGGTGCTCTCCAGGCCTCGCTTGGTGATGCGGGTCAGTCACCTTTTCCTTAAACTGATAGCTATTTATACATAGTCATAAGCAGAGGGAAAAAGCCAATGAAATGAGAGTTGTTTTGTTTTAAATAAAGTAAATTCAGCTTTTAAAAACTGATGTTAAAAAGTCTTATAAAAGGATGTTAGCTATGGGTTTTTTAAATTAATATCCTGTTTTAAATAGAAAGGTTAGTAACCTTATGAGCATCCATAGGTTTCATTGTGAAAATTTATTGGCAGCGAAATACAGCCACTGATTGAATCACAGCAAACATTTACTAGTGGTTACACATCTAGTACAGGCTTCCCAGGTGGCGCTAGTGGTAAAGAAGCCACCTACCAGTGCAGGACAGCTTCAGTCCCTGGGTTGGGAAGATCCCCTGGACTAGGGCACAACAACCCACTCCAGTCTTCTTGCTTGGAGAAGCCCATGGACAGAGGAGCCTCGTGGGCTACGGTCCATAGCGTCGCAAAGAGACACAACACACACACACATCTAGTAAGTGAGCTATTTTATCCATATTTCCTAAATTTTCATGTTTCAGAAAGATGATTTTCTATTTTGTGTAGTTTGAAAAGCCTTGACTTTAGAAAGTTATTTCTAAACTTTCTGTCTGGTGTTCAGCTGTCTTCTCAAATTTATTTTTGAGGCTTTCATCACTTGTTCCATCTTTCTCTTGCTCTCCTCACTTTGTTACTGTACCCCTCTTTTCATTCGGATCCTGTGAGGACCAAATTTTGCTGTGTGCATTCTCACATTTTCTGTTTTGCTCTCTAATTATTCTGAAAATCCTGACTTTTTATATTTCTGCCTTTTGAAATCCTGTTTATCTAAATGCCTGATTCAGTTGCCATCTTCTAAGAAATATTCCTGAATCCCCAAGTGATCATTTCTTCCTTTTCTTCCTTTTCGTATCTTCCTTTAGTCTCTTCCTTTTCTTCCTTTTCGTATCTTCCTTTAGTCTCTTCCTTTTCTTCCTTTTCGTATCTTCCTTTAGTCTCTTCCTTTTCTTCCTTTTATCAGAGAATTTTTTTTTAATCAGAGAATTTTTTGTTTGTTCATTGTAAAATTAAATATATTCAACCTTGTATTATAGTTGGGTTTTTACAGTTAAATTTATACTAGATTGTAAACTTGTTGTAATATCAAGAGCTATCCTGTTTAGATAGTTTCTAAACTGAAATATTGAGCAATCAGAATATCTTTGAAATCCATATGTGATACCAAAAAACACTAATCATTAGAACTTGCCTTATCAGGTTTTAAATTAGTACTTCTTTAAAAATCTATTTTAATAAAGAATTTACTGTATTTAGATATGCAACATGATTAGGCACTGAACTACTGTCATTTTTAAAGTATGGACATAAACATAAGGTCATTAATTTTGAGTCACCTTTTTTTCACCCCATATCTTTTGGCTTGATCTTGCTCTTACACCTATGTTTCCAAGAAAAATAGTAGGTTTAGAATGATTCTGTTGGAATTTGTCACTGTAAATACACAAGTTTTGTTTGGCCTGATAGTATAAAGTTATAATCAGCAACACACACACAGTACTAATACTAAGTCAGCTGTTTAGTATAGTTAGTTGTACTATATAGTTCCTTCTTAAGCCAAGTTTTGTAAATTCTCTAATGTTCTTATAGGCAACTCGAATTTAAACATTATATATTTTTTTCTTACTAAAGTGAGATTTCTCAGAAATTTGTTAGTATATGTCTTACTCTAGTTTTTATATTTTTTAGGTTGCAATGAATGTGTATGAATTATCATCAGCTGCTGGATTACCTTGTGAGATTGATCCTGCCTTGGTGGTAGCTCTTTCCTCACAAAAATCAGGTAAAATACATTAGTAATTATGTAGTAGTCTTATTAAATAACCAGGGCAACACAAATATAGATGTAATGCTTATCTGTTCAAGTGTCTGCTTTATATCAGTGGGGTTTTTTGTTTTATTTTTTTGGTAGTTGGAGTATATCAGTGCAGAAAATACCAAGATCCTTGTCTTCTGAAGCTTATGTTATAGCACAGTCATCATAGAGATTAGATATTTAAGTCTTAAGACTGGGTAAGATTAATAAGCCCATTTAGTGTGCAGAGGTGAGGAGGATCAGAGTCTGAGTCCTGGGCCACTCTCAAGTTTAAGAGTTCAGGGAGAAGAGGAGGAACTACCAGAAGAGAAACTGGGAAGGAAGGATCTGTGAAGGAGAAGAAAACCAGGAGAGAATCCCTTCCCTTTGAGTGAAAGGAATGGTCAGCTGTGTAGAATTAATAGGTGTGACAAGAGCAGTGTCAGTGGAGTCCTAAAGACAAAAAGCTCATTAAAGAGGGCTGAAGAAAAAATAGAAGAAAAGAAATTAGAGATAATGAGTATAAAACAACCCTCTGCAAAGTTTTACTGTATAAAGGGGAGCAAAGAAATAAAACTAGTAGCTAGAGGCAAAAGTAAAATCAAGAGAAGAGTATTTTTCAGATGGGAAAATAGCAGTGTTTGTCTGCTGATGGAAATCATCTGATAGATAGAAACATTGTTATCTAGAAAATGGTGTCTTGAGAGTTCCCTGACAGTCCAGTGATTAGGAACTAAGATACCACAAGCTGTGGCACAGCCAAAAAATTTTAAAAAAAAAAACACCCCTAAAACATAAATTTTTTAAATGTATAAAAAATATGAAAGTGTGTTCTATTTTAATTGGACTAGAGCTACTTAGCATAGAAAGCCTGTGCATTGTTATGTAATATTAAATATTTGAAATATTTTAAGATCAGCCCTTTAAAATTTATTTCTCAGAATTCTAGTTTTTTCCACAAAGTAAAGTGTTTCATCTATTTCTGGTACTAACATGCTTTCCCCTACTTCCTTGGATGTAACATGGTGTTTGACCGAGTTCATGAGTTCTTTTTTGATTTGACATTAGTCTTGTTTCATCATATATGCAATATGTTCATTAGAGTCACATGGATAATTATTGCACCTAGCTTGACTTGCCAGGGCTGCATTTTTTATAGGCAGCTAGGTTTAAGAACATTTCATTGAAGTGTGTATAATTGATTGACGGTTTGTGCCGGTCTGCTGTACAGCAGAGTGACTCAGTTACACACATAAATATTCTTTTCAGTTGTGATTTATCACAGCGTTTTGAATAGAATTCCCTGTGCTGTATAGTAAGACCTTGTTGTTTGAAAATGAAAGTGTTAGTTGCTCAGTCATGTCTGATTCTTTGAGACCCCATGAAATGTAGCCCGTCAGGCTCCTCTATCCATGGAATTCTCCAGCAAGAATACTGGAGTGGGTTACCATTTCCTTCTCCAGGGGATCTTCCTGACCCCGGGATTGAACCTGGGTCTCCTGCATTGCAGGCAATTTCTTTACCATTTAGCCATGAAGGAAGCCCATGCCATATTATAGATTCCACATATATTATATGGTATATATTCCACATGATACCATATGGTGGTTGACTTTTCTCTTTCTGACTTACTTCATTTAGTATGATAATTTCTAGTTGCATCCATGTTGCTGCAATTGGCATTGTTTTGTTCTTTTCTATGGCTTCATCTATTGATGCATATCTTTATCCACTCATATGTTGATGGACATTTGGATTATTATCATGTTTTGACTGTTGTGAATAGTCATAAACAGCTAGATTTTTCAAATATATTAACTCTTGTCTGAAATTCTTAATTATATATAGTTAGTGGAGTGACTTGAAGTTCTCAGGTATCAGATAAGTGAAGTACCTAGACAACACAGGTACCAGATACGTGAAGTACCTAGATAACACACAATTTTAGTATAAGGATACAATAAATATTTTAGATAAATCATTTTAAAATAAATATTTAAAACCTTTGGACAGTGTTACTTATATTCATTTATGACTGGTTCCTCCTGTCTTCTAAAATGAAAAGATTAGAAATCCAATTTACACATTTATATCTTTTAATAGTAAATATCAGATCACATGTATATCTATTTTAGAAAAAAATTGAAATTTTTGGATGATTTGGCAGAGTAAGTTAGATAATTTTCTATACTGAAACAGAATTTTCCTATTAAATAATTTATTATTAGTTATCAAGTAGAAGATTTTAGGATTCTAGTTATTCTAAATATATTTTTAGTCCTGTAACCTTACAATTTAAAAAAGAAAGAGGACATTTTGCCTTACTGTTTTTTTAGATGTCCTTGAAATATGCTTAACGGCTTGATAAACGGCTGATACTATTGTGTATTATTTCTATGCATTCTATATTTCTTGTAACAAAAGTGTCATCAGCTCTATAGAGACTCAGTAAAATACATAAAAATTAAAATGCGCTTTTTCTGCTTTAGATCAGCTCTTAACTAATCTTGAAAGAAATACCTTGATGTTATTTGTAATTTTTCTGCCTTAGAAAACATAAGTCCAGAAGAAGAATATAAAATTGCCTGCCTCCTCATGGTCTTTGTGGCCGTTTCTTTGCCCACACTGGCCAGTAACGTGATGTCTCAGTATAGCCCTGCTATAGAAGGTAATAGTAGTTTTAAATTGTTTTGGCACTTGGAAAGTTATGAGCTTTGATATAGTAGGTACTTTTCAAGTAATTGTGCTTTTTTTTTTTAACACAATAAGTGGATTAAGTTTTCCTACTTACTAGATGTGTAATCTTACAAGACTGAATTTTTCTTTTTCCAAGCCCCAGTTTCACATATGCATGTGGAGTGTGTACATGTGAGCCTGTGGGTGCCTGCATGTGTATGTGGCAGGGGACAGTGAGGGGACTATCCAGCTCTTAGGGTTATTGTAAGGATTGAATGGGGAAATGTTTATAAAGCGGCTAAGCAGCTGATAAGTTTCCAAGACAGTGTAAAACTGACGTATGGTTTCTTTTAGGGGTTTTTGAAAATGTGCCTGTTCAATACAGCTATGGTTGTTGCTCTCGTCTACACTATTTTTAAAAGCACTAGTTCTCATGAAAGTGAAGAGAGGGCCAGGCAGGTCATGCCTCAGCTCTGTTTTTAATCACGCCGCTATTTATGTAGATTATAAAGTCATTAAAGATTTGATATTTTGGGGTCACACAGAAACCACACACCCTATATGCACTTTCTCAGGGCACTGCAACAACATACATTGCTTGGCCAAAGCCATCAACCAGATCGCTGCAGCTTTGTTTACAATTCACAAAGGAAGCATTGAAGATCGGCTTAAAGAATTTTTGGCGGTATGTATAATCAAGCAAAATTCATGACATTTTTTTAGAGAAAATTAAAAATCACAACTATGGGGTGTAACAAAGTAAATTCTCTTAATTTATTTATTTTTGGAAGAAGAGACAGGTAAAGACAGGGCATTAAAATCAAGGAGCAGTTAGGTTGGCATTTTTCCCCTTTGGCTAGCAGTCTCTTGTTTCTAGAGCCCTGCAGTATGACATTTTTTTCTGAGCTGATGTTTGGATTGCTCTAGAATTGTGCCTAGTGTTTGAAAGAGAAAAAAAAAAAACTAAAGGAAAATTGATACAGAGGATGAATGTTCCCTCTAAAAGGATGTGTTTTATTTATTTCCATTTATTTGGAGAAACTCTGAATGGAGACAAACTCAAAAATAAGAATACTACTCACTGCCAAAAGAAGGTAGTAATGCTAACTCTGGCCCCATGAAGTACTGCGCTTCGTTTCTGTGCTAGTGTAGCTTTCTTTCCTTTATCAGCGTACTTTTTTCATATTTTACTTGAAAGACGCACTTGTGATTTAAGAACACTAGAATATTTGTGTCTTTTCAAGTTATAAATCCTGTTAGCTTTTTAAAATTCTTTTTTTAATTTTTCAAGCAAATGTAGTACTAATTTGAGAATAAAATAACATCTTTTTCAAAGAAAACAGTATTGAGAGTTAAAATTTTTCTTTTTCATTTTACTTCCTTCATTTAAGACTTAATAATGTCTTAATCTCACTGTAGTATTATTAACTCAAACTCAGTGTGAAATTTTCTTATTTGGAAATTAAGAAATATAGTTAGTACAGATGTTGGGAAGAGAAAAAGGAATTTAAATTGTTGTTTTTTTTTTTTTTTTAACTTTTTCTTTAAAAAAATAAGTTTTAAAGACCAGTAAGAATATTTGATTACCTTAACCAAATATTTATTTTTCCAATAATGAAAATCATTCTAATAATTTTACAGTATAATTTATTATCTTTGTGTCTGCTTATACCTTAATAGCTCTTAAATTGTTGCTTAAAAGTATAGAACCTAAGCTCACCTTGTGATTGAAATGTGTTGCAAGTTGAAGCATACTGAAAATAAACAAATAATCTGGTGAAAGTTTTACTTTAAAAAACTTATTTACTTAAAATATATGTATACTTTTAAGCTTGCATCCTCCAGTCTACTGAAAATTGGCCAGGAGACAGATAAAACAACTACACGAAATAGAGAATCTGTTTATTTACTGCTAGATATGGTAAGTCTTATTGTAATTTTTGTTAATCACAAAAAGTTGCCAGTCATTCCTGATAGTCTTTTCTTGGTATTTTAGTCATTAAATGGAAATAAGAGCTGATGTACTTTTTTGGCCACTTATATTCACTCCACCCAAGCCACACACTTTCTAATAGTTGCTGAAAAGACTGCCATATGGTAAGGATATCAGAAAACAACAGAATGAATCGTCATTACCTGTAGAGTGTTCTTTTATAAATAGTTTTTCAACTTATTGGGAAACACCCAGGCTTTATGTTTCCTATTCTTCCTAGTTTCATCTCTTCCAGTTTTCCGAATGTTCTATTTTTTGACTCCATCTCACCCATCTGATAAGATTTCCTGTAACTTTCTGTGCCTAGTCAGTTCCTTCTCTTCGCTGCCTGAAGCCAGCTGTGCTTGTTTCTGTAGTGTGATTGTTTCCTCACTTAAAATAATTTCCTTTATCTGCTGAGGTCTATGTCTCGCCTAATAATGATGCAGCGTACTTTGTAGCCAAGATCCTTTTTTTAGATAGACTTTGATGACTTTAGCCTAAATTGATTTTTCTTCTCTTTTGAAAATTCTAGAATTTAGCAGCTTTCCACTTAATCATAGATGGTCTGAGGTTTGATTTGGCTTGTTAGCTTAGTGTTGCATTCCCAGTTAGACTTGATGATATGGACCACATTTTAAATAAATAGTATATTGTTGAGGGCAATGCAAGTGCTTGGTATTTCCTGTTGATTAACTGATTTAATTGAGAAGTAGTGATTTAAAATGTTTTGATGCATGCACTATGGCACATTTACATTTCAGATTTTAAAGTAAAGTAGTTTTAAAGTAAAAGTAAAAATTTATATGTGTTCCCAATAAGAGCAATATAAAATTATGCTTTACTCATTGTCAGTAAATGTTCCCATTATAAATAACTTGAATTAATACATTTTTGGAATTTTTCAGATTGTGCAGGAATCCCCATTCCTGACAATGGATCTTTTGGAATCTTGTTTTCCTTATGTCTTGCTGAGAAATGCATACCATGCTGTCTACAAGCAAAGTGTTACATCCTCTGCATAAAATACCTACTTATTGAAGACAAGCACGCATTTTTGTCGCCTCTGTTTTACCTGTAAACTGTGGAACTGTTAGACCTGAAAAACAGTTTTGTGGATTATAAATTTCTTTCATATGGTTGTATTTTCTGATCATCAGTTTCTTAATATGGTTGTACTTCAATATACTTGGTTGATTTAGGTTGCACATTTATGGAATTCACTGAAATTATTCCAATAATTTTAGAATATCATTTGTTTGAAAAACATACATTCTCTATGTTTTTGATATTTGATAATGAAAAAAAAATCTTTGCTTGTTTATTTCTGAAAAAGAATTGTATTTAGTGATTATTTTACATAGTGATATTATAGCATTCATTGTGTGTAAATTATTTCATATAGGGAAGAGTTCTGACCTGTACCTACTATGGTTCTTATTGAAAACAAAACTGGATGTGCATTTCTGTGATGTTATGAATACATTTCTACTTTATTTTGAAACATTTGCCAAACTAATTACTATAACACTATATAACATTAAAAGTGTTCATGGACTGCTTAGCATTAGAAGCAGACTGTGTCCCCAAATTCTAAAACAGCAGCAAATGTTGTTGCCTGTATAAAGCCTAATAGTAATTTTTAGACTAATTTCCACAGTGCCCTGTTGGCATTAGCACTACCATTGCACCCTGCTGTATAATAAACAATCTTAGACATTTATCAACTGTTGATACAAATGTTAGTCCCTAACCACTTTTTATATGTTTTAAATTTTTGAAATTCAAGTGTACCTGCCATAACAAAATAAACACTAGACTATCACATTTTGTAAAATGGAAGTTTTTTTGTTTAAACTTAGTAGTTTATTTTAGGTATATCTAAGTAGCACATTGATACTAGGTCACCTACTATAAGATTTGCTTAAATGTTTTGAAAAATACTCCACTAGAAAAAATATTAAAATCAGAAAATAAAGTTGCATAACATTTTTTTAAAATTAAGAGCTAAAAGGAAACTGGTGTGCCATCAGCTTATTAATGTTTATCAGTGAGAAAATGGACAGATTTATTTGAAAGATTAGGGGAAAAACATGGAATGATCACAGAACTAATGAAAAGGTTGAAAACTTTTATGGGAAAGATATAAAGAGCCTATTGCTTGGCAGTTGACAGGGAAGGCAGAGCACCTCATTTAATTTCAAAACTAAGTGGATATTTTGCTCTTTAATTAGCGTTGTGAAGACTTTTTCTCATGAGCTGCGTGTCTGGATATCATAGAGCTTCTGTTGTTCACAGCTTATATATACACTGGTAACTTGTGTTAAGATAAAAGAAAGCTACTGTGAACTTAGTTATAATTTTTTTGTAGTTCAGATACTGGAATGAAATTGAAGTGCCACAAGACAATATTTTGTTAATGGTTTCTCCAGTTTATATTTAAAGCTGGGAATAGTTGTCACTATCTGTTGAAAATTTCCAGTGGTAAGGATTTTTTAATGAAATAGTTTTAGACTTGAAATAACCTAAATACACAGTAAACAGTTGAAAGTAAGATTAAATGCTGTTTGCTCTGAAATACTAGGATCCTAGAGCGGTAATAACTTGTCAGCAGTAATATCCTCGAAGGTAAAAATAGGCATTTTGAGTATGTATACTTCCATTGGGGCAGTATGTGGAAGGGTTAAGACGTTATTTACCCCTCTTCAGGTGAAGAAAAAAAAATCACTCTTTCATAGTCCTGTCAAGTTTATCTTGCCCCAGTTTTTTTCTCATATACCTGAACTGACTGACTAGCTGGTGTACTATGGGATTGTTCTTTGCAGAGTCTTTCTACCCCTCCCCCCAAACAAATTTTTAAATAAAGTTAAAAGTAAATTGACAACTACTATTTTTAACATCTTGTTTGTCTTAACTTTTCTTATTTTCTTCTAAATTTATACTGCAACATACTATTGTTTTCTCTACAGTAATGTAATCATAACATATATACTTAACTGTAATCTATTTATTTCACTCAAGTAGAAAAAGTCTTTGATATTTGATATTCTTTTTAATGCCTCTTTGTATACCATAACTAGTTTCAAAATTTCTTTTGGATGAACATTTAGGCAGACTTCTTCTTTTTCATTACAGGCATACCTTGGAGATATTGTGGATTGAGTTCCAGGCCCCTATAGTAAAGTGCATATCACAATAAAACAAGTCACATGAATTTTTTTTATTTTCCAGTGCATATAAAAGTTATGTTTACACTACAGTGCAGTGTGTTAACTGTGAAATAATAGTATGTCTAAAAAAAACACATGTTAATTTAAAATGTTTCATTGTTAAAATAATGCTAGCCATCATCTGATAATGCAGAGTTACTACCAACATTCAATTTATAAAAAATGCAGTATCTGCAAAGTGCAATAAAGGAAAGCGCAATAAAAGGAAGTATTCCTGTATTATAAATAATATCTTGGTGAACTTGGGCATTTATCTCCTTTAGCATAATTTCTTACAAGTAAAATTGCTTGGTGGAAGGGTGTATACATTTTAAACATATTAAATTTCCCTTCAGTGAGATTATATCAGTTTTACTCTTACACTTGTGTATTTGAGTATAATTTCCTCCTATGGTAAACTGTTGATATATACCAATTTTACTATTGTTGATGCAGCTTTGCCTCTTTAAAAGATGAAACATAAATGTTTTAATTTGCATATCTTTGCTTATTAGTAAAGTGGAATATCTTTTTTAAGTTTATTTGTTGTTTTTATTTAATGAATTACTCATTTTCAAGTGGAATGGTCCAAAGATTTTTTTTTAAATGCTAATGGGACACGTTTGCATGTTATTTTTGTGCATGTATTTAGAATTGACAACAATGTTAAATATAGTGATATGACTATTAAAATATACTCCATAGCAATTCATGTTAGTATACAGCTACTTTGATTACTGAATTTTAATTGACTTTAGGAGTATAAAGCATTTATTTTCAAATCCAAGTTAAGAACAGCATTGCTTTAATACAGGTATATACCTGTTAAAGAATGAAGGAACTTCCCTGGTGGTCCAGTGGTTAAGACTTCAGGCTGCAATGCAGAAGGCCTGGGATTCAAACCCTGGTCAGAGAACTAGATCCCACATGATGCAACTACCATATGTTGCAGTGAAGATTGAAGATCAGACCTGGCACAGCCAAATAAAAATAAATTTTAAAGAAATGAAAAGATATCCAATTTAAGTGTATAAACTACAGAGTAGATTGAAATTATGCCAGGACACTAATTCCTTAATTCTAAGTTTAAACTGTCAAACAGGTGTATTGGAAGTTACACACTAAGCCAATTCCAAAAGGTACACTATATGTAGGAAACTATCTAAAAATTTTAACCTCATTTCTCAGATATGTCATTTTGAAAACTTTATGTTCTCAAGTAAAGCCATCTACCAATCAACGGCTGATTCATGTCAATGTATGGCAAAAACCACTACACTATTGTAAAGTGATTAGCCTCCAATTAAATTAATTTTTTAAAAATCTACCTATCAAAAGGTGAAAAGCTGTAAGGCTTTCCTTGCCTTTCGTACTGATAGCCTGGTATACATACTTAAAAAAAATCACTTTCCCTCTAAATTGGTGTAATTAATACTAACCTTTTAAATTACCAATAAAATTGCCAATTAAATTACATCCTGTAAAGTTAACTTGTAAAGCTCTTTATATTTTAATGTGTTTGCTGAATTTGTGTTTCTATCATTCATTCCAGCACAGACTTCATTTTTTGGAAAGTTCCCTTTTTACAGAATACTTTGGAACCTAGGTAAAGTGGCCATTTTATTATTAAATATTTCAGAGGAAATAGAAATTAAATCATATATTAAGTGTAACTAAAGGAAATCACTCCTTAGCTGTCATTAATCCATCTTATCTGTATTTACTGTAGTCACTACCTGTTTTTTAGATAGAGCTAATGCAGGGTTTCTGATCACAAAGTGTCCTCTGTTCAGTCAGTTTGAGAGCATATGTCTGAACTGTCGAGGATGAAAGAGATTGCCCCTGCCTTCCAGGATCTTAGAGTGAACTTTGTACTGGTTTAAGTCATAATTTAATCAACTGTTTGTTCTCTCATGCTACTGTTACCAGATTCTTAAACCACGCCCCCCACCCCAAATAGTAAAATATTAGGTGCTCACCACCATAGGACTAGGGCTCTGGTATTTATTCAGGAGAAAAGGCAGTTGGAAACTTTAGAGTTAAGGAAAGATTGAGTCCAGAAAATTAAGTCAGAACCTGGCTTTATGGGTTGTAATTGGCACAGTGCTATGGTGATAGTTGTGAGTCTGATGCAGCTGAGTAAATCGGCTGATGCTGTGCTGTGTTTAGTCGCTTAGACATGTCTGACTCTACGACCCCATGGACTGTAGCCCACTAGGCTCCTCTGTCCATGGGGATTCTCCAAGCAAGAATACTGGCATGGATTGCCATGCCCTCCTCTAGGGGATGTTCCCAACCCAGGGATCAAACCAGGGTCTCCTGCATTGCGGGTTGGATTCTTTACCATCTGAACCACCAGGGAAGCCCAAGAATACTGGAGTGGGTAGCCTATCCCTTCTCCTCGGGATCTTCTCGACCCAGGAATCAAACCAACGTCTCCTGTGTTGCAGGCGGCTTCTTTACCGGCTGAGTTACTAGGGAAGCCCAAGTATTGGCCAGATGAGATAATGTAGTTTATTTTATTTTGTTTTTTTTTAATGATGTAACTACTGTTCTTTATTAAGAAATAGAGGCCAGTTATCTTTTCAGGATAGCAGCTCTTAAAGGTAGTATACTGTTCAAATCTTTTCTGTTTTTCAGTCTGTGCCATGACTTTAAAAACTGATCCTTGATCATATCAAACTTCTGTTTTTCATGCACAGCTCTTGCTGTATTTGTTCCATCAAAAGGTTCTTCTACACAGATGTATTTATTTCTCCATTCAATACCATCAGGCCTGGGAATGGCTTTGACTTCACGAACTGAAATCATCTGACTATTCCAGTCAAATTCTGTAGCATAGTACTTCAGAAAGCCCAGTGAGAGGTCCCCAAGGTTTGATTCATTCTTTGAGAGGTAAGGAGGAACATTACATGGCGCTTGATGTACAAGGTGCAACTGTACAGAAGGACTAAAAGATTCTGGGTAAATTTTTTGGATGGATGGAAGGATGGGTTCAGGTAATGTTTGTAAATAGTGCAAAACCGTCAGTACAAGACTATAGCTGCTTAAAGTACCGCAACTGGCGTCATTTATATCATGGTGACTGGCCCACTTCTTAATCACCAGTACTAATGGACGAACTCGATTTTCAAGGTATGCATAAGTTCTGAGAAGGAATGTGTTTCTTATTCCAACAATATTGTTTACATTCAAGTCGAACTCCACACAACTGACTATCCCTGAACTTCGCAATTGGCACTTTTGCTCGAATCAACTGAGATCTCTCAATGTAACTAGAAAGTCTAGTACAGAAGTGTTTGTGGACTAAGGTGAGTATATGCCGTGCTTCAGTCTTCTGATTTACTGGTTCCTCTTTAACAACTAGACGTAAGTCAGCATCACTGCTCCGAGTACCAAATCCATTTAAAGAAGACCCAACTAAAAAAAGTCTGCTTTGTGGAAATAATAGTTGAATTTCTCTCTGAAGCTGTGTTCTACAGAGTTCTTTCTTTAAATCACTTACTTGCTGCTGACGTGCTTCAAATAACTCCAGTATCTGCTGACTCAACTTATCTTTGGCTTCAGGCAGTGTGATTTCTCTAGGTTCTAAAATTGATATTTCTCGAAAAGGTGGAACACATCTGACTATATCTGGTACATAGTGTGTGTGAAACAATGGTGACATTGAGTATCTTCTTTCATGTGATAAAGGCACTATGTGGTTAACTATAGTTGGCTCTTGGTGGGGTGAATGAAAACGCTGCCGTTTACCATCAAGAGGAAGATTCTTTTCATCGCTTAATCTCTTTTTCAGCAAGGCCATGTTATTAGCTCTAAATGAACAACTGAGCCACCAGGGAAGCTAAAAAGTGGAAGTCGCTCACCCGTGTCCAACTCTCTGCGACTGTCTAGTCCATGGAGTTCTCCAGGCCAGAATATGTGAGTGGGTGGCCTTTCCCTTCTCCAGGGCATCTTCCCAACCCAGGGATCAAACCCAGGTCTCCCGCATTGCAGGCAGAGAGATAATGTAGTTTAAAGTAGCAATACCCGTAGGAAGTCTTTGTGTTTCCTCAGTTATTAAAAGAGTGAAAAGTGAAATGGTTGCTCAGTCATGTCTGACCCTTTGTGACCCGATGAAAGGGGCTTGGCAGGCATAGGTTGCAGAAAGTTGGATATGACTGAGCAACACTTCACATTAAAACAGTACCTGAGAGTTAAAATAAGGTGTTCCTTCCTTTCTGTTAGACTCCTGTTCCTTTAGTTTATTCAATTTATCTCTTAATTTTTCCTTCCTTTTCTTTACAAGAGGTAACCATGGAACTTGACACGCGGGCTTCCCATGACTTCCGTCTTGGATTCTCCACTTAGTCATTGGCACTCTTCCTAATCATTTACTTCTTTTCTGCTAATTAATTCATTCAGCAAATATAGATTCCTGGGTATAACAGTGAGCAAAATAAAGAAGTTTCCACTCTCCATTTAAGTTCTCATCTTAACGATGATGGATGGAAAAGGAGGAAACTTCTGACAGTGATAGGGAAATATACAGGATGATGAGCTGTGGAGTGAAAGTTGCTTGCAGGCACCACTTTAGAATGTGTCATCTGGGAAGGCCTCTCTAAAAGGATGAAAAGAAACCGGAAATGGACAGAACAGTGAAGGTAAAGCCCCAGAAGGCGAAAACAAACTTGGCATACATGAGAAGTAGAAGTATACAAATTAGTATTTCTGTCACAAGGAGAGCTTGACAGAGCCTAACTTAGCTAGCTAGAGCTTTTCCTTTCTCTGGTCTGCCTGTCTTGCTTTGTTCTTTGATTGTATGTTAAGAGTTTACAGATCTAATCAAGACAAGTAGGTTATGAAGAAGGAAATGAACTGAACTTACTGATGCTGTGTCATTGATACGAGAATGATAAATATTATATACCACCAGGTTTTCTAAACCAAGCTCAAGTTCTGTCAGTGAACCAGAATCTAGTTAATGTGCATGAAATCATGTCCACCTTTCTATTATAATGACTTGCCTCTGGGAGAGCTCAGCTGTGTTATTTGTAAAGACTTGTGAATTAATAATCCTTAAAGTAGTGTAACTTATATATATTCTTCATCCCTTTTTTACAGTCACTTGAGGATGAACCATCATTTCATTTGATTGTCTTGGCCTGAATTTCAAAATAGACACCTTGTTCTCTTTTTTCTAAAGGTACACTATGACCTCTTTCTCCCCCTTTGGGGAAAAGAATCAGTTTGAAATCTTAAATGTTTTAATCTTCAGTGAGAAATGATTTTTGAGTTATTTGGTCCTATTGAAAAATATTTATTGACTCTGCTCTTGTGTTATTTTCAGAGTTTAAAGTTGCTTTAAGTATATTAAATTGCATTCTTTCTTGTATGAGCTGAACTTTCTGTACCTATTGCTGTAGTTAACATTTCAAGCATGCCTAACTAAAATGTTGCATTTCCAAGAAAAGTTTTCAATCTGTCATTCTGACCAGAAAATAACAATATAGGATTAACTAGCAATCTAGTCAGGAACCTAGCCATAAAGGGCCATA